TGAAAACAAAATCCACAACAAAAGGAACTCAGCACAGGAGAATAAGAGGAACAAAACTGGAGGACATTATGCTGAGTGAAATAAGTCAATTACAAAAGGACAAATATTGTATGAGACCTCTACTGTATAACTCATGTAAAAGTTTACACACAAAAACAAACAATCTTTGTTGGTTACGAGGGATGGGAAGAGTGGGGGGGGAACTAAATAGGTAAGTGGTAACTTTGGTGATGGGTAAGACAGTACACATTACTGGGGAAGCCAGCATAACTTGTACAAGGAAAGGTCATGGAAGCTCCATAGACACTTCCAAATGCCCTGAGGGACTGAATTGCTGGCTGGAGGGCTGTGGGGACCATGGTATCAGGGAACACCTAGCTCAGTTTATAGTTTACAGTTTATAAAGACAATGTTCTACATTCTACCTTGGTGAGTAGCATCTGGGGTCTTAAAAGCCTTGAGCAGCCATCTAAGATACTCCACTGGTCTCACCGCTTTGGGAGCAAGGGAGAATGAAGAGAACAAGATACAAGGAAAACATTAGTCCAAAGGACTAATGGACCACAGCTACCACAGCCTCCATGAGACAGAGTCCAATACAGCTAGATGGTGCCCAGCTACCACCACTGACTGCTCTGACCAGGATCACAATAGATGGTCCTGGACAGAGCTGGAAAAGGATGTGGAACAGAATTCTAACTCACAAAAAAAGACCATATTTACTGGCCTGACAGACTGGAGAAACCCCAAGAGTATGGCCCCTGGACACCCTTTTAGCTCAGTGGTGAAGCTCCTCCCGCCCTCCCGAAGTTCACCATTCAGCCGGGGATTGGACAGCCTCATAAAACAAAACAGGACTAATGAGGCACAGCAGTCCAGGGACAAAGACTAGAAGGCAGAAGGGGACAGGAAGGCTGGTGATAGGGAACCCAAGGTTGAGAAGGGACAGTGCTGACATGTCATGGGGTTGTTAACCATTGTCATAGGGCAATATGTGTACTGTTTAATGAGAAACTATTAGTTCTGCAAACCTTCATCTAAGGTACAAAAAAAAAAGAAGAGAATTATCTATGTGAGATCAAACGGACAACAGCAACTCAAAAGGTTTGATGGGAAGCCTAGGGGACAGTGAGTTGAAGATAATGGTGATGGAATAATTTGGAAAAGGATAGTGAGAATAGCAGCACAACTGGAAGAATGTAATCGATGTCACTGAATTGTACATGTAGAAACTTTTGAAATGGTGTAAATTTGGCTATGCATATTTTCACCAAAAAAAGGTCCTCCAAGGTCGAGAAGGGAGAGTATTGACATGACGTGGGGTTGTTAACCAATGTCATAAAACAATATGTGTACTGACTGTTTAATGAGAAACTATTTGTTATGTAAACCTTCATCTAAAGTACAATAAAAAAAAATTAAAAATATATATATATATATACACATACACACACATTGGCCTCCTCCTTTTCCAAAAATAGTCAAAAACTTAAGCTCTAGATTCTGAAAAATAGTGGTTGTTGTTCATATACTATCACAGCTAGGCACAAAGATACTAAACAATTGACTCACATGATTATAACAAGTGAATATGGAATCTAGGACTAAAATCCAGCAGGTGTCCTGCCTCTCGTCCCAGCGTCCTTTTCACTCTTCCTGCATCCATTCTGTCACTCATTCTGGAAACATTTCCTAAGAGCGACCACGTAAAAGCACTACACAATGGCAAGCAGAATGTCTGCCTGCACGAGGCTTACAGTGGTGAACCAACCATTGTTCCATATTCTGGCTTCTTGACATTAAATTTAGTACTATAAATTTTTTTTTATCAAGTATCACCCATGAGCAAGGTACCATGCTGGGCTATTTTTTCACTGTTTAAAATCTGTTCCTATCATATAGACTTTTTCTTATAGAAAGATAAAGAGGTTTTTGTCTGTTTGTAAACATTAGGTTCAGCTAATGTTTCAGTGAAATATTTACTCCCTGCCTACAAGATACCCAGGACAGGGCTCTGCTCACAGTCTAAGGATAAAAGCAAGTATAGGATATAATTCTTGACTGTGATGAGCTATCAAACTAGTGTGGGCACTAAGAATATTAAGCAATAAGCAATAAGCAAAGAAATTAACTTGAAACTGAAACTATACATTCAGAGAAAAGATGAGGGAACGTGAGCCGATGTCTTCAAAGAGTGTGTCATGGATGGCAGTGGACTTCAGCAGGCTCTACAGAGTAGGAGATGGAGCAGTGGTGGTTCAGAGGTAGAATTAC